TGTGCATCTATTGCTATAAATTGTCCTCTGAGGACTGCCTTTGCTGTGTCCCAAAGGCTTTGGTTTGATGTGTTTTCATTCTCATTTGATTCTAGGAATTTTTTTATTCCATCTCTGAATTTTTCTATTACCCAGTGATGTGTAAGAAGGTTATTATTCAGTTTCCATGTAATTTAGTTTTTTTCTTTGCTCTTTCTGTTGTTAATGTCTACCTGGATGGCACTGTAGACAGAGAAGATACTTTGTATTATCTCAGTGGTTTGGATCTTCTTGAGGATTGCTCTGTGGGCTAAGATGTGGTCTATTCTGGAGAACGTTCCATGTGCATTGGAAAAGAATGTGTACTTTGCAGCTGATGGGTGGAATATTCTATATATGTCTTGGAGGTCAAGTTGTTTGATTGTGCCCTTTAAGTCTTCTGTATCTTTGCTGAGTTTCTTTTTAGTTGTTCTGCCCGTTACTGAGAGTGGTGTGTTGAAGTCTCCTACTACCATTGTGGAACTGTCAATTTCTCATTTCAGTGTTGTTAGAGTTTGTTCTATGTATTTTGGAGTCCTATCATTGGGTGTGTAGATGTTTATTATGGTTATGTCTTCTTGATAGATCATCCCCTTAATCATTATATAATGTCCTTCTTTGTCTTCTATAGTGGGTTTTGTTTTAAAGTCTATTTTATCTGAGATTAGTATTGCCACTCCTTCTCTTTTTTTGTAGTTGTTAGCTCGATGTATTTTTTTCCAACCTTTGACTTTTAATAAATTCACGTCTTTGTTTCTAAGGTGTTTCTCTTGTAGACAGCATGTTGATGGATCCTGTTTTCTTATCCATTCTGTCATTCTCTGTCTGTTTATGGGTGCATTGAGTCCGTTTACATTCAGTATAATTTTTGATAGATGTGAGTTTGTTGCTGTCATTTTGTAGTGCTTTTTTTTGTGGTGCTGAAGTTTTCTTTGTTCTTCTTACTCTCCTCTGCTGAGTTACTTTTGTTTTGTGGATTTCTTTTTTCATTTCTTTTGTTTTTGTAGGTTTTGATCTTGCTGAGACTTTATGTTTTTCCTCTTTATTTTTATGTTTGTTAACTTTCTTTGTGGTTGCCATGAAATTTACCCTTATTTTTATAAGTTTGAAGCAGTCTATTATTACTTGGTATAGCCTTGCCTTCCTCTCCATTAGAAGGTTCTATACCTACACTGTTTATTCCCTCTTTTATTGTTCTGATGTTGTTGTCATTTACCGATTAACTGCTCTGATTCCCTGTTGTATTTCTTTTGGTTTTGGATAGTCCTTGAGAGTTCATTTCCTAGATTGGTATCTGGCTGGTACGATCCTATGTCCTAGATTCTGCCTGTAAGCTGAAGTTGTTTGTTCTCAGATCGAAGAACTCCCTTTAATAATTCTTGTAAGTGTGTTTTTGTTTTTACATATTCGATTAATTTCTGTTTATCTGAAAGTGTCCTAATTTCACCATCATATTTCAATGAGAGTTTTGCAATATATGTTATTCTTGGCTGGCAATTTTTTTCTTTCAAGGTTTTATGTATGTGATCCGATTGCCTTCTTGCCTGCATGGTTTCTGCTGAATAATCCGAGCTCAGTCTTATTGTTTCTCCTCTGTATGTGACTTCTTGTTTTTCATGAGCTCCTCTCAGGATTCTTTGTTTGTCTTTGGTTTTGGTGAGTGTGATTATGATACGCCTTGGTGATTTTCTTTTGGGGTCTATCCTGTATGGGGTTTGTTGAGCTTCTTGGTTGGCCAGCTTTTCATCTTTCCTGGTATAGTGGAAGTTTTCTGTCAGCAGTTCTTCAATGATCCTCTCTGTGTTTTCAGTTTTTTCACCCTGTCTTGGAACTCCATTCACTTGCAAATTTCTGCTTTTGATTGTATCCCATATAACTCTCAGGTTCTCTTCGTTTTTCTTTGTTCTTTTTTCTGAGTTTTCCTCGAACAGATTTGTATCCAAGTGTTCGTCTTCAATTCTACTGATCCTGTCTTCTACTGTTTAAAATGTGCTCCTCAGCCCTTCTATGGCACTGTCCTTTTCTGAAATCTTGTTGTTTATCTTTTGGATTTCTAATTGTTGTTTTTGTATAATTTCTAGTTGTGAATTTATTTTGGCATTTTGTTCCTGCATGATTTTCCTGAATTATTCCAATTTTTTGTCTGTATTTTCTATGAATTTGTCTATTTTTTCCTCATTTTTGTCTGCTTTTTTCTTCAACTCTTGGATAATTCTGAGTATTAGAGATTTGCCTTCCCTATCAGGTAGTTCTAGTGCCTTTTCTTTTGCTGGAAAGTCATCTGGTGTTTTATTTTGGATGCCTACTGGAACCATCCTGTCTGTTTTTGTAAATGTTTTGATATTGTGTGCTGTCTTCGGGGTATTCAGTAGTTATTTTTCTCGTCTATCAATTGTAGTTTTTTGTTTCTTCCCCCTTTTTCTTTTTTTTTTTTTAATTTGGCTATGTCTGAACAGGCGGGCTGTGTGTTCTTTGTTGTTTGCTCGTCTGTGGGAATGATACTTTTTGCCTCCTTTTCCAATTGGCAGGGTCAGTCACTCATATATGGTACAGAAGGCCAGGTCTAGCTGAAGAGGAGTTACTGTAACGTGTTGTTTGTGGCACTTACTACAGCCACCAAGGTAGGTCAGTAATCAATTCAGGGCAGGTTCTGGTAGGCAGTGCCTTTGCTGCTTGGTGGTGTGAAGTTAAGTGCACAGTGCAGCTAGGCAGGATGTAGGGGGGAGATTGTTACGTGTGGAGCTAACATGGATATGTGAGAGAGGAGAGGGGAACAGGAGCCAAAAACATAAACAAACAAAAAAGAGTGCTAGGGGAGCTTGCCATTGGAGTGGAGAGATGAGAGACTATGAAATGGAGAAAAACAAAAAGGAGAAGAAGAAGTGAAAAAAATAAAAGAAAAGAACGGATGAATAAAAATCAGAAAGGAAAAAGAAGTGCAAAGCTCCCAGGGATCCCACCAATGTGGCTACGAGGTCTGGGAAGTTGTTCTCAGGTGTTGCAGTACAGCTTGGCTAGAGGGCATAGAGGTATTCACCACCAGGTATTCAGGGAACAGAAAGAGAAGCAAGGTATAGAGAGATGACAAACTGAGTAATGAAGATATACAAAAGGTGGAAGAAAAGAGGGAAAAGAAAACAAATTAAAAAAAAAAAGAACAAGAAAAGACCCCAAAAAAAACAGAAAAAAGAAAAAAAAAACCATGAAAAATGAAGTGCCCTCAGGGATCCTTCTGTGCATCTGTGCCAGCTGAGGGGGTAGCTCCCAAGCTTCACAGCACCACCAGACCAGAACGGGTCCCAACTCAAGAAATGGAAAAGAAAACAAACAAACAATTCAAAACAAACAAACAAACAAAAGCCCTGGGATCCTACCAGCATGGCAGCCCAGATCAGGAAGCAGCTCCCCGCTCGAACAGAGCTCCACTGCCCCTCAGGAAGAAGAAAAGATGGTGCACGGAGCAAGATATTTGAGCAAAAGGAGGGGGATGTGGTGAGCGGTAAGGAAGAAACCAAAAGAAGCAGAAAAAGCAACACCAGCAGCCAATAAATGGCACTCGGGGAGCTGGCCAGTGCGGGCGGGTGGAATACAAGCATCTGGTGCTTCCCGGCCAAGAGACTGTGGCCGCGGGAAGCAGAGGAGGTCCAGTGGTGGTGAAGAAGGGTGGGGGATGGGAAAGCATATATCGAAAATTACCTGAGCTCCGCAGCCCCTCAGGAAGAAGCAAAGATGGCACACGGAGCCAGGTATTTGAGTGAAAGGAGGGGGAAGCGGTGAAAGGTAAGGAGGAAATCAAAAGAAGCAGAAAAAAGCAACACCAGCAGCCAACAAATGGCACTCCAAGAGCCTGCCAGTGCAGGCAGGTGGAATCCAAGCAGCTGGTGCTTCCCAGCCTGGAGACTGTGGCCCCGGGAACCAGAGGAGGCCGAGTAGGGGTCAAGAAGGGTGGGGGGGTCGGAAAGTGTATATCAGAAATTACTGGTTGTTTTGTCTCCCACTGGAGGCTCCGTGAAGCTGCTTTCTCGCATCCCCTATTTGCTGGTCTCTGATAGGAGTCCAGAATGGTGGATCTGCGCTGCGTTAATGATAGGGGACCTCTGTATGAATCTCTGCTCACTCTCCATTCTCTGTCAGTTTTCTCACTCCATTTGGTACTTGGCTGAGTCCTTTATCTCTTCCTTTGATGTTTTAGCGTTTCAGGATTGTTGTTTTCTCTGTTTGGCTTAGTTTTTTGGATCTTTGCTGTTGATGGATAGTGTGGTGCTTCCGCCTAGAGTGCGATTTTGCCGGAAGTCCTAAAGTATTTTTTAGGACTCATGCTATACAGTAAAGACTAATCAATACCTAAGTAGGCAAATGAGCTTCAAATATCATTCAAAGCTAAAGAAGTGTAGGAACTTATTTACTCCTTCAGAAATAATTTAGGATATGTACTCACTTCAGAAGAACATATACTAAAATTGAAATGATACAGAGAAGATTAGCATGACTCTTGTGTAAGGATGATACCCAAATTTGTGAAGTGTTCTACATTTTTTTTATTGTTGTAGTTTAAATGAAGTTTACATTTCAAGTTAGTCTCCCATACAAAAATTTATACGTAAATCGTTATGTGAACCTAATTGCTCACCTCATACTGCGACAACACAATCCCCTTTCCATCTCTAATTCCCCATGTCCATTCAACAAGCTCCTAATGCTCTCTGCCTTCCCATCTCACCTCCAGACAGAAGCTGCCCCTTTGGTCTCTTATATATACTTGAGCTAAGAGGCACAGTCCTCATGAGTATCACTTTATGTCCCACAGTCCAGTCCAATCCCTGTCTGAAGAGTTGGCCTCGGAAATTATTTTAGTTCTGGGCTGATAGAGAATCCAGGTGCCATGCCTTCCAAGGTTCCTCCAGTCTCAGTCAGACCATTAAGTCTGCTCTTCTTACTAGAATTTGAGTTCTGCACCCCATGTTTCGCTTGCTCCATCAAGGACTCTCTGTTCTGTTCCCTGTCAGGGTGGTCATTGGTGGTAGCCGGGCACCATCTAGTTCTTCTCGTCTCAGGCTGATGAAATATCTGGTTTATGTGTCCCTTTCTGTCTCTTTGGCTACTACTTTTCTTGTGTCTTTAGTGTTCTTCATCCTCCTTTACTCCAGGTGGGTTGGGACCGATTGATGCATCTTAGATGGCCGTTTGCAAGCTTTTAAGACCCCAGACGCCACTCATCAAAGTAGGATGCAGAACATTTTCTTAATAAGCTTTGTTATGCCAGTTGACCTAGATGTCCCCTGAAAGCATGGTCCCCAGAAACCTACCCCTGCTACTCTGTCTCTCAAAGTGTTTGATTGTATTCAGGAAACTTCTTAGCTTTGGTTTAGTCCAGTTGTGCTGACTTCGCCTGTAGTGTGTGCTGTCCTTCCCTTCACCTAAGATGATTCTTATCTACTATCTAGTTAGTAAATTACCCTCACCCTCCCTCCCCACCCTTGTAACCATCAAAGGATGTGTTCTTCTCTGTTAAAACCTTTTCTTGAGTTCTTATAATAGTGGTCTTATACAGTATTAGTCCTTCTGTGACTGACTAAATTCACACAGCATAATTAGTCCCAGCTTCCTCCATGTTATAAGATGTTTCACAGCTTCATCGTTGTTCTTTATCATTGCATAGTATTCCATTGTGTGGCTATAGCGTAATTTGTTTCTCTATTCATCCGTAGATGGAAATCTAGGTTGCTTCCATCTTTTTGCTATTGTGAACAGTGCTGCAATGAACACGGGTGTGCATATATCTATTAGTATGACAACTTATTTCTCTAAGATATATTCCATGGAGTGGGATAGCTGGATGGTATGGAACTTCTATTTCTAGCTTTTTAAGGAAGTGCCAAACCGATTTCCAAAGTGGTTGTGCATTGTTACCATTTTACATTCCCACCAACAATGTATAAGTGTGCCAGTCTCTCCACAACCTCTCCAACATTTATTTTGTGTTTTTTGGATTAGTGCTAGCCTTGTTGGTGTAAGATGATATCTCACAGTAGTTTTGATCTGCATTTCTCAAATGGCTAATGATCGTATTTCTTCATGTGTCTGTTAGCTGCCTGAATATCTTCTTTGGTGAAGTGCCTGTTCATATCTTTTGCCCATTTTTTAATTGCGTTACTTGTCTTTTTCTTGTTGAGGTTTTGCAGTATCTTGCAGATTTTAGAGATTAGATGCTGATCTGATTTCTTGAAGCCAAAATATTTTTTCTGAGTCTGCAGGTTGTCTTTTGACTCTTTTGCTGAAATTTTTTGATAAGCATAAGTGTCTGATTTTTAGGAGTTCCCATTTATCTAGTCTCTCTTCTGTGGCTTGTGCACTGTTACTTATGGTTCGTATTGTGTTTATGCCACGTGTTAGGGCTCCTAGGTTGTCCCTATTTTTTATTCCATGATCTTTATCGTTTTTGAGTTTATGTGTAAGTCTTTGATCCACTTTGAGTTAGTTTTTGTGCATTGTGTGAGGTATTGGTCTTGTTTCAGTTTTTTGCAGATGGATATCCAGTTATGCCACCACCATTTGTTAAAGAGACTCTCTTTTCCCCAATTAACGAACTTTGGGTCTTTGTCAAATATCAGCTGCTCATAGGTTGATGAATTTTTGTCTGGATTCTCACTCTGTTCCATTGGCCTATGTATCTGTTGTTGTACCAATACCAGGCTGTTTTGACTACTGTGGCAGTATAATAGGTTCTAAAACCAGGTAGTGTGAGACTTCCCACTTTGTGCTTCTTCTTGAGTAATGGTTTATTTATTTGGGGCCTCTTGCTTTTCCATATGGACTTGGTGATTTGTTTCTCCATCTCATTAAAAAATGCCAGTGGTATTTGGCTCGTGATTGCATTGTATCCATAGATTGCTTTGGGTAGAACTGACATTTTCACTAGGTTGAGTCTACCTATCTATTAGCAAGGTATATTTTTCCACTTATGCAGGTCTCTTTTAGTTTTTTGCAGTAGTGTCTCGTAGTTTTCATTGTATAGATCTTTTACATTTCTGGTTAGATTTCTTCCTAAGTATTTTATCTTCTTGGGGCTTATTGTAAACAGTATTGATTTGGTAATTTCCTCTTTGAGATTCTCTTTGTTGGTTTAAGGAATTCAGCTGATTTTTGTATGTTTATCTTGTATAATGAAACTTTGCTGAAATCTTCTATTACTTCCAGTAGTTTTCTTGTGGATTCTTTGGGATTTTCTGTGTATAACATCATAGCATCTGCAAATAGAGATACTTTGACTTCTTCCCTACTAATTTGGATGCGTTTCGTTTCTTTTTCTAGCCTAATTGCTCTGGCTAGGACCTACAACACAATGTCTAATAAGAGTAGTGATAAAAGGCTTCCTTTTCTGGTTCCCATTCTCAGGGGAATGCTTTCAAGTCTCTCCATTTAGGATGATGTTGGCTGTTGGCTTTGTATAAATGCCCTTAATTATACTGAGGAATTTCCCTTCTATTCCTATTCTGTTGAGAGTTTTTATCATGAATGGTGTTGGACTTGTCAAATGCCTTTTCCTCATCGATTCATAAGATCATGTGGTTCTTGTCTTTTGTTTTATTTATGTGATGGATTACACTGATTGTTTTTCTAATGTTGAACCATCTCTGCATCCTGGTATAAATCCCACTTGATCATGGTGAATTATTATTTTTTATATGTTGCTGGATTCTATTAGCTAGAATTTTGTTAATGATTTTTGCGTCAGTGTTCATGAGGGATATTGGTCCGTAATTTTCTTTTTTTGTGGTGTCTGTACCCGGTTTTGATATCAGGGTTATGCTAGCTTCATAGACTGAGTTTGGGAGTATCCCATCGTTTTCTATGCTCTGAAAAACCTTTAGTAGAAATGGTGTTATCTCTTCTCTGAAAGTTTGGTAGAATTCTCCAGTGAAGTCATCCAGCCAGGGTTTTTTTGTTGTTGTTGTTGTTGAGAGTTTTTTAATAACCTTTTCAACCTCTTCTTTTGTTAGGAGTTTATTTAGTTGTTCTAACTCCATTTGTGTTATTTTAGGTAGGTATTGAGTTTCTAGAAATTTATCCATTTCCTCCAGGTTTTCAAATTTGTTAGAATACAATTTTTCATAGTAATCTGTTATGATTCTTTTAATTTCAATTGGGTCTGTTGTGATATCACCCATCTCATTTCTTATACAAGTTATCTGCTTCTTTTCCTGTTTCTCTTATGACAGTTTGGCCAATGGTTTATCAATTTTGTTGATCTTGTTAACTCTTTCAGTTGTTTTTCTATTCTCTATTTCATCTGATTCTGCTCTAATTCTTATTATTTCCTTCCTTCTTGTGCCTGATTGCTTCTTTTGCTGCTGTCTATCTACTTGTCTCAATTGTAGGGTTAATGTTTTGATTATGGCCCCTTCTCCTTTTGGATTTGTGCATTTATTGCTATAAGCTGACCTCTGAGCACTGCTTTTGCTCTGTCCCAAGGGTTTTGGTAGGATGTGTTTTCATTCTCCTTTGATTCTATTAATTTCTTTATTCCATCCTTAATTTCCTCTATAACCCAGTAGTTTTTGAGCAAGGTGTTGTTCAGTTTCCATGTGTTTGATTTTTTTCCTTCCTTTTTGTGTTGTTGATTTCTACTTTTATGGCTTTATGTTCAGAAAAGATGCTTTGTAATATTTCTGTTTTGGATTTTGTTAAGGCTTACTTTATGGCCTAATATGTGGTCTATTCTGGAGAATGTTCCATGTGGTTGGAAAAGAAAGTATACTTGGCTGCTGTTGGGTATAGTGTTCGGTATACATCTATGAGATCAAGTTGGTTGATTGTAGAATTTAGCTCTTCCATGTCTTTGTTGAGCTTCTTTTTGGATGCTCTGACCTTCACCGAGAGTGGCGTGTTGAAGTCTCCTACTTCTATTATGGAGCTGTCTATCTCTCTTTTCAGTGCTGTTAGAGTTTGTTTTATGTATTTTGGAGCCCTGTCATTGGGTGTGTAAATATTTAGTACAGTTATGTCCTCCTGGTGTATTGACCCTTTAATCATTCTATAGTGTCCTTCCTTATCCTTTGTGGTGGATTTTACTTTAAAGTCTGTTTTTTCAGAGATTACTACTGCCACTCTTGCTCTTTTTTGAGTGTTGTTTGCTTGATATATTTTTTTCTATCGTTTGAGTTTTAGCTTGTTTGTTTCTTTAAGTCTAAGGTGTGTCTCTTGTAGGCAACATATAGACGGATTGTGCTTTTTTTAATCCAATCTACCACTCTCTTTCTCTTTATTGGTGCATTTAGTCCATTTACATTTAGCGTAATTATTGATAGGTATGAGTTTAGTGCTTTCATTTTGATATTTTTTTTTGTGTGTTTTCACAGTTTCTTTGTTCCCCTTAATTTTCTGTGCTAAGTCTTTTTTCTTTATGTATTTCTTTTCATCTTTTTCGTTGTTGTTGCTTTTGTGTTTGCTGGGTCTTTATATTTTTCTAGCTATTTATTTTTATTTGTAGGATTGTTTGTTTCCTTAATATTTACCCCTATTTTCTAAGTTTATACC